AGCTCAAAGCGCCATCTTCCAAATATAAATTTATAAAATGATTTTGTAACCTTAATCATGCTTCGCCAACAAATGTGCCCTTCACACCTTAAGAGCTGTTGTAGCAAATGGCTTATTATAAATAGTATTCCAGCCACTTTTGTGTTTTTAATATCCAACAGTCCTATTGAGTTCTGGTATTGAGAGCAACGTGTCGTTGGTAATGGATATGGCAGACATGCTGTGGTTGAAACTAAGTTATACTCTTCCAAAAAAAAAAACAACAACTTAAGGGACCGAATAAAAAATGTAGTGTTGAAAAATACAACAAGCTTAACATTATTATGGTGACGCCTTTTTCAAGCTGGCGAAGCATTATTATAATAATACTTGTCATAAGATATAATCATGCCTCACCAGCTTGAAAATCGCGTCACCATAATAATTGTTCTTGTAACAAATGAGAACTCTGAATTAAGAGAAACGCGTCGTCGGCTCTGAATTTGGCAAATATAGTGTGGTTGGAATACTATTATTATCCATTCTTCTAATTCTTGAAAATCCCTAAGGGACTATATAAAAAATTGGTGTTTCAAAATATAATAGGCCTATTACTAATGTCTTATGAGAAGTAAGCTTAACATTATTGTTGTTCGACAAATATATAATTAGTTACAATCACGCTTCATCACCAAAAGCGTTTACACCAGACTCATTCAAATTTGTTATCAATTTGCCCTGACAAAGGAACCGTAACTTAAATCTTGTAAAAAATACAACTAATAATACTTAAATTAAAACGTAGAATTTACCATTTTAATGTGTATTTATTAATTCTATCCATGTTATGTGCCTCAAAGAATATAAATAAATAGAATGACGAAACGATACACAAACACGACCTGACAAGATACGCAATAAACGGAAAACTGTGGTTGATATTTGTTTAGTTTGATACGAAGACTGATATACACTCTTAAGTAACAAAAGGTGTGATTGGGATGTGATTCTAAAAAACATGCTCCTTGTTGTTGAAAAGATGAGAACTCAAATCCTTAAAGGTGTAAATGTAATAGGTCACACTCCTGCTGTGTGTATAAAGGTGTGAATTTATGAACAGAATGGAAAGTCACGTAATTTTTATACGAAAATAAAAAACTCTAAACAAAGTCACGTTTATTAACATGATTGTATTATATCTATAAACTTTCATGACATTAATTCTTTCAGAGGACAATACCTCTTGAACGAGTAGACATTCACAATTAATCTAATTTATATGAAGTATGACCTCTTAAGAAAATCGCTATTTAATATTTCATAATTCTATATTGGGTGTAAATTCAATTATTCTGAACAAAGGTGTGAATTTACACAGTTCAATACTTCACACACACACACAAAACTGTAATTTTACACATCTTTTTTTTAACTGTATGATCCAAAAGAAGAGAGAAAAGATTCAAAGGCATGTCTGGATTTAAAGTGTTTGGCTAAGAAATAGAAAGTACTGTACAAGTATAGAGAGATCTTTGAGGAAGTTGATTAAAGTAATGAACCCAATGGGTTCTTTCTTCACAAAGTCAGTAGAATGAGCCCAGAAAATTCAAGGGCACTAGAACAAACGGTGTCTCATGAACAACATCAATAAAGTAAAGTACACATGGACGTTGCAGCTAATGTGCATTTACTACACACTTTTTATGATATATATTCTGTCAAAGCTTGTTGCATGATAAACATCTGTGCATATTTTGCATGGAACCTAAAGGCAGCAAGCATTTAAAGAGAAAGTTGTTGCTTATAAAGGAAAATTATGTATGGACAAGTTCAAATATTCAACGGATCTCATACAGGACGAGAAAATACGTGAACACATTCTTAATTTCATCAGAGAGTGTTATGATCCCTCTGTCAGGAAAGTTAGATACCATTAATGATGTCGATCATTTTTATCAGTTGATCCTTCAGGAAGTTAGAAAACAGGTGGTCTCAGAACTGTATATACGAGAAAGAATGTATAACTGGGAATAAAGTTTGGCAATGAACTAAGTTTTTCCATACACAGTTCCATGAGAGCAACATTTTTATGAATTTCATGTGAAACATCATGCAGCAATATACTCGGGGAGGGGGGGGGGTTAAGTAGAGAGCAGCTTTTAAAGAGTATAATTTGGATTTCATCGTATACTTTTTTTCTACCAGGGAATAAAATTAGGCCAGTTTGTGTGAAAAAAATTATTAACAATAGTACGCCAAGATCAGTATATCAGATTAAATCTAAAGATTACACAGTTCCTACATCCGAAAAACTGACAGCTTTTAACCAAAGCAAAAGAACATTTGAAAGTTCCCTCTCATGTATTATAACACGTGGTCAAACACTAACACTCGTATGATTTTTCAGATGTTGAAACCATTAACAATGAAAACAATATATATTGCAAAAACAAAATATTGAAGAAACTTGCAAGATATCAATAGCTCTTGACGAAGCTGTAAAAGCGAAATTTTGAGCTAATAAAGGTACATTCTACAGGTTTAGGTCGTGATTTTATTTAAGTTTAAAGAAGCTCTCTTTATCAGAAACTTACAACCTATATGGGTGTACATTTATATTTATCATAATATTTGTTTTCATCACTTAGATATTATTGAATGACGTAATATCGTTGTTGATATTGTAGCACGTGACTGTTTGAACTTTTGTTTTCGAGACTTTCCAACTGATAATATCAGGTAAACTAGTGAAACGTAGTTTCTGGGAAGCTTATTTTCTTTCTAAGAGGTTTTAAACATATTTAATTGTTTATTCGTAAACAAAAAATGCTATTTAGTTTACAACTTTTTATCGTAATTCTATATAGTAAAATATCATAAATGAATTTATATACTACTAGTAATACAAGTAGCTATATAGTCGGTAGGCGTAGGTAATTTAGCCTACAGGTTAAATACCGTTAAACAGTCGTCGCCGGCTGCTAACTACTGGGTTTAAAATATTTCACGATTTCTGTACTCACTTGAGAATGGGAAGAAACGAGTATGTGCTTTTAAAAAAAAACTTTCTTTTTTCCTTTTTAAAACTCCAGGTTTACTTCTTTTAATATTTACTTGGTTCTTTTACCACAGAATTTATGGAAATGATGACAGGGGAGTAAACAACAGGAATAGGCTTCGTCAGGTCGTGGCATAAACCTTTTCTCTGATGCCTGATTTTCAGAATAACCAATTGTTACTGTGAACCACGATGTTGAGAAAATCTCTCACGCTAAGTAAATTCGAAAGTCCTCTAAATCTTTAAGCCATGTAATTAATTTTATAAAGATAAACCTTCGAAGTACATATCACATAGTTATCCATTCTGTAAAAGGAGAAAAAAGTGTAATGCTAAATATCATTGTATCAAACTTAATGCAAAAAAAAGACGTTTACAGATTGCCTTTTTGTCAAAAAATATATTTCTGTAAGTACGGTTCCGATTTATTTTACAAGACGCATAAAATGTCTTGGTTTTTCACGAAAAAATGAAATAAATATGAAAATAGAAATATTTATGTTTCTGAGTATTTATTTATTTTTGTATATCCTCCATTTTAGGAACATCATAATCTGCAAACAATAAAATGTTTAAATACTGAACCAGATGTTAGTGTCGTAAGTTCGGAAAGTTACCGCTACGTTATAACTCAATAGCGTAAAATTATTGAGTACAGAACAAAATATTTTATTAATAACTGGGCATTTCTATCATTCTGCAATCAGGTTCTTTCCTTAACTACTCTTAACCATTTGTAAAATCTTAAACTTTATATAAATATGCTGAAATTATGCCAACGCTTAGTAGTCATATATTTAGCAACTCGGAGAACTACCTCAAAAGATTGGGATCTTTACTACAGATTAAAAGACAGTAATGATGATTAGGATCTTTCTGCAACCGAAAAAACTCGAATTAATAAACATATTCACAAAGAAAAAAAGATCTGGAGAAAAGTCGGTGTTCGAAAATAGTTGAATGCAAAAAAAAAAACATTCACTTTTGAATTACTGGTTGATAAAAAAAATATTTTACAATGAACTCTAAACTATGAGACACTTAAGAATTGTCTCTATTAAAAACTATTGAATATTGTTCGATAAAAATGGGTAAAAAAGCACGAACCTGTTTGATAAAATACGTAAAATAAATTTCGACAGGGTTAATAGGTTTTGTTTAGTTTTTCTTATCAGTGATAAAATGGCTAACAGAACATATGTTTCACTCCTCTTAATTCAACACCAGGTCTTATATTCAACATCTTATGTTCCATAAAAGGGATGAGTGGGTCGACCTTGAAGTTATGGAACAATGGTCTATAATTTTTATTGATAAAATTATAAATGGTCCCTAAGGTGGATATAAAAAACAATGATATCAAATAGAAAGGCTCGATCATAATATAACATTGTCGTTAGGTGCACGTGTTAAAACAGCTACGTTTGTTGGAACTAGTTTTATTCTAAACATGTAGTGTAAAAAAAAAGACTACTAAGTCGAACGATATAAAGTTGGATAACAATTGATTTTCTTCTAAAGTTTCTTAATCCTAACATGAACTACTCGTGACCAGGAATCACGGGTGAAGACCATTAAGTTAGACGATACTTAGATTACTGTTTTGTTTCATATCGACTGAGGGGAGGAAGCGCCAGTGTATGTGCTCCGACGATCGGCCAAGACGCCTAATCGATATGACTGGGACTAACTGCCTGACCAGCAGTTAGGACAGTAGCTTGGTTGTGTGATCAATGATTAATGGTGTTCTCTACTTTCTGAGCTATCAAATGATAGGATGTACGCATTAGATCATGTTTGTTGATCTCTAAACCTTTACTTTTTTGTCCTTACATGGCGACATCTAGCGAGAATCGCTCACACTATCAATAGTAATTAGTAAACTAACAGCGAGGATAACTGATGTTATTAGTTGCAACGCTCTGTGAGTGGCCTCGGATGTTTCTAATGTATTTGAAGGCCAAAGGAACATTACAATCCTTGCTTTCTTAAAACTCAAGCAGCAAAATTTTTGGGGGTGAGCATTTACAGAATGTTTCGAGCTTGTGTGTACTTAAATAACTTATACAGCTGCAGTCTGGAAATTGTGTAGAATATGAATCTAAGTAGAAATATTCTGGTTTTACTGGACTTACGTTTCTAGTTGTCGGTTTTGCTAAGTAGATCGACTGGCGAATAGTAATACATCATCGTGATGGTTCAACTACTAGTCTTTGTGGCCTTCTAGGACATTAAGTGTACTTTACTAAAATACTATATGTACTTCTGCAAAGCCCACGAAAGTGTTCTCTTTTAAGAGTAAATAAAACCAAAATTATGAGTAACGAATATTTTTATTTTTTGCTGTTGAAGTTCATGTGTCGTGCTGTTTGTAGCATACAGAGTGCATAATTCTTCTCGTGATTCATTGCATGCACACGTTTTACTGACTTTACGACAGTAAAAATTGCGACGATAAGTGTTCCTTACGTGAAGTCATTTTAGTATCTACTGACTGACTGACAGACAACATACTACTGTATATTGGTGCTAGTGGTTAAAACAGGTGGCCTTTGGCCCCCTTTTGAGGAAATGATGTAATAACCCCGTGTCGGTCCGAGTGTACATTGGTATATACTGTAGTGGAAAACACTAATATTAATCATGGCTGAAACGTGTTCAGTCGGCTGAAATTTGCTGATAATTATTTTTGTGAAGCTGAAAAGAGTCGAGGTAATCGGTTCCTAGATAGCAGTACATTACGGTATGGCAGGTACTAAAACAGATGGCGGAGTTTTTCCTTCTTGGTTTCAATGATGTTGAGATATAGGTATATGGCAATAAACGTATATCAATGTATATATGTTAGAGATGTTATATACGCATACTAATGTTACATACAGCCGTTCATGGATGGTGTATGACACAAAATAATCAGTTATGCAGTCTACATTTGTGTCATCATTTTGTTTTAGCACAAAACTACATAATGGGCTATCTACACTCTGTCCACTGTGGGCAATCGACCCCCGGATTTTAGTGTTGTAAGTTTGTAAACTTACTTATCAGGGGATCAGTTACACAGAGAATACAACTGTCAATCCTCATATAAATGAAAATACAGGATTTGATCCGAATGTTAAGACACTGAGATGTGAAGTACACCACGATTACTGACGTATAGAACATTATTGTAAAATATGATGTAGATAATATTTCCAGTGATAATGTGAAAGAATGTTAAAGTTCAACACTGAAATATTTGAAAGGTAGTCGATTATTCTTGACGAGATAACAGTAACAGGTGAACTCATAGTATGTATAAATTGTACTTTATTCATGGGATATTCTTGGCTTTACAACTAAAGGTATCGTTAGCAATTGGGGTGCCTAACTGTGCATTCTAATCTTTATAGGTAGGTTTGTGACAGCAGTATATTTTATTGGCTATACTCATTATCTAGTTGAGTTTTACTTTTGATCCAAGTGGATATCTTGCATGATTGGAAGCCTATATTAATAGTATTACCCATGTTTTTGGTAAATAGCAATGAATAATATTTACGATTGGATCAAATCAAAACGTTAACGAGCAGGTAAAACTATCTGTAAAAATTGAAATCCATACACTGTAGTTTATATATCATACCAAAAGTAAACTTGGCACACCTTTTCTTTTTTTATGATACGCTAAGTCACGCAGATTGGAATGTTTCATAAACATTAAATTTTACTGAATATTTCTAAGTATTTGTTTCAGTACAAAAAGCAGTTAAAACACATAAAAACGTAAACAGTAGGTGTACAGCCTGACGCAAAAAAATGACACCATGCAACGTTGTTTCGAGATTACCCCATCATGTACTAAGTTTGAATCTGAAAGAAGTCTAGTGGAAGTGAGATATCCATACTAACGGATTCCCTGATCCGAAGATAGAGGTTGAATAGCCTGTTTTATTTATATGTGCAAGCACCAGTGTTCAGTTTTACCTTACTTTCTTATTCCAGTGCTCACGAGCTCTTTTAGTGTAAGAATCAAAGAGAGGTGGTGGAAAGAATACGGGCAAGTTAGAAGTACCTATAGTTATGATGGTAATACCAGTGGGCAGCATAGCTGTTTGTTGGTCGAGCGTGGGACAATAATACATCCTGGTGGACCAGAGGTACAAGAGAAACATTTACTACAGGTAACATATATGTGAGTACACGTACACCTGCAATAACGACAAGAGGAATGGTTTCCTACGAAGTGAGTCCACAGATGTACAAAGTGTGAGAGCTTGACTCTCACAGAACCAAAGCTGAGGAGTGATTCCAGAAATAACTGATCACTGATTCACATGATTAATGGCCTCTCAGAAGGGGGACACCAGGAAGAGGCCACAGAATGAGTAATTCCTAAAAACAATTATTACATGATGGGAGGATGCCAAATGGAGCCCCTGATATAAAATTGAGAGTCTAATTCCAAAAAATTAGAAATCCCAATAGAGCAAAATACAGAAAAAAAAGAAGCAAGTGAACTGGGAAACAGCGGAATAAGAAAAGAGGACATCTTGAAGAATAGTTGAGTGTGAGCCTCCCCAGTAAAGCTGTTGAAGTAGCAATAAGAGTCTTAGATGAAAATGGTAGATGAAAAGTGATGAAGGACAGAACCAGTCATGTTATGTTCAATGGTTGCTCACCAACAGAATAACTCCAGTTGTCACTGAAGAAAAATAAATTCTATGGAAGAGAGTCTGGGTCTCAGAAATATGGATACCAATGAGAAGTTGTTGTTAGTAACATTTCATGGAATTGAATTCATGTAAGATATTAATATTATTACCATTTATATATATGTATTATTTTCTATTGTATCAGTAGATTTGGTATGTTTGTGGTGCTTCGGCCTAGGCCATTTTCGAATTGATGAGATTGAAACTGTCAGCTTCTATTGAACCCCCAAACACTGGGTTAAATGATGGAGAATATTCCTGTCAAAGAAACCATGTCACAAAATCTGGAACAACATGTATCTCAAAATCTCGTAGTTTGATTAAGAGAAGAAATCAAAGTAACATAGGAAAAGGTAATAATTCATGTTACAATTTTTAGATGAATTTTAAAATTTGTTTCTTTCTTTAAATCGAGAAAATGAAGGTAAGAAAGGTAATACTTTGAATGTTAATGAAAAGTTGAGAATAATGAGTGCAAACATACCATACTTCCAAATGAAAAAAGAACATAACAGGAAAAGAACAAGCTTTTGGTATAAACAGAGCTCAAGAGGAGTACTGTGCATGAAGGATGTGTTGCCTTCGTCTTGAGGGATGGCTAGAGCCTAACACTGATTGCATCACAGACTACCACGGTACATGGTACGTGTAGGCTTGCCACGTGCACAATAACTTTATGCCAGTGGCACAAAGTATTAGCTGTCTGTTTTGTGGAGAGGTGAGTACAGTTTCTGAATTATTAAATCTTAGTTAGATAAGAAAATAATTATATGAGAACATAATTCCCAGTGAGCTTTCTTCTTTTCTATTTCTGTTTATGGAAACTTTTCAATCTATTTTTAGAAAATTAAGTGTCTACACTTTTAATAGTATTTGGTAATCACTTTAAAAACCTTGTTTATTTCAAAAATATCCCAACAGAAGTTTTCCTCACAATTTCATTTTAAATGGATATACAAAGCACTGCTCTTTATACTGTGACGTTCTTACATGTTGACTGGGACAAAAACAGCACAAACTAAAAAGTTACAAAACTTTCATGAATTAGAACAGACTACACCAGGACGACAACCAGTTTTTCCTCGACTGTAATGACATTTCACACTGATTCTCCTCTTCCAAACTGTCATCTGTGAGCTCTGACTCTGTATCTTCCTTTTCAGTTTGGCTAGCCTCCGCTTCTTCTGATAATGCTTCAAAATAATTGCTCCTAATTATTTCTGCAGTAGGACTTTAAAAAAAAAAAAAGACAAAGATATCTTTATATAAATTGTTTTAAAGGTTTGTAAAAGAATAAGTAAATTTGTTATGCATATAATTTATACAAATTAGGGTAAGGTTTATGTTTGCACTTTAAAATAAGTATTTTAAACATATAATTAATTTGAAGATAACTTTTATATGCGGAAACATATATAAAAGCTATCTTCAAGTTTTGTACACCAAAAACCTTTTCAAGTAGAATTAATTGTATTACTTGCATTATTTTAATATTTGTCTCCCTCTCTCTGCCTCTCTATGTATGTATGTATGTATGTATGTGTATCTTAGAGTTCTATTGAAGTTAAAGCAATCAAAAAAAAGAGATGGTCCAAAAACACACTAGAATTCAATAAAAACAACAACAAGAAGACCGTGAAATAGAAGGAATAGTAAGAATTACAAACTTTATTCCCCTCGTTGTAACCACTTTGTTTTGATTCGTTCAGTGACTGATAGGATTAGGTGACATTTATTAGACATCAACTAACGAAAGGCACAAAAAATATCTAAAGAACATTTATCGTTGTTCCTCTTAAGTGCACAGAAAACATATTCCACCTATCAGACAAGATGTAAACACACATTCCTAATGTAGTTGGGAGTTTTGGCCACAGAAATTTGCCATTATAAGTTAATGATGACAACAAGAATTGGTAATGGAAAAATAATTTTTGATTTTTAGTCTTATTTTGAACGTTTTTACTTTCTATTAATTGCATTATTGTTCCCTAGTGGTGATCTAATCACCTATTTACAATTAATGTATTTGATACAGTATCAGAGCTACTGGTTATACATATACTTGCTCACATTGATAACCTGTAATCAAAATAAATAAATGAAAAAAATATCCTGTAAACCTTTTTAAACTTAACAAGTGTGCATTAAAGACAACGGTCCCACATTATTTGGGTGTCATAATTAACCTATTTTATCCATTAACTACTTCTCAGACCAATTCATGTATCTTATTACAATGATGTTAATGTTGTATGCACCATCCTGTGTACCTTTTACGTTTCTTCCTTGCCTTATGGGGAAGAAAATCCCAAACCAGTAGTCTGGACCCTCCAGTAACAAACCGAAGATCTCCATCTTCACTCACAGTAGTTGCTAGGCTAAGAATCCTTGAAGCTTTGTCACAAGACACAGATGTTAGATAATCTCCATTAGGAAGGTAAAAAACTATAAAGAAACAGAAACATCTATTAAAACTTAAAGAATTACTTGTAGTAAATGTATATATATTTTTACAGCTTTCTTACGAGTCCCTATCATCTACTTATAATAAAAAAAATATAAATTACTACCTGATGTCCAAAAAATCACTTTAAAAAACTAGAATGAGAGGTAGATGCTGAAGTTAGGATTTGGAAGTTCTTTTTATGATACAATTGATATAACTGAATTTCAATATTTCATAAAATTTAACAAGAGGTTGGTAGTGTAATATCCTACTGTCAAGGACAATCATTTATTAATTATAATATTTCACACAATGATATACTGACATTACAACTGTCAGTCATGATACTGCAGAGGTAGGTTACTGAAACACACACACACAACAGATTTCCACCTACATTTGATAGATGTAGTTCAAACAAGATCAATGTGTTTTAACCATAGCTGTCTATCTTTGAGGTTATACCTGTCACATTTAATATAATTTAACAATAACACTTAATACCAACTAGGCCAAGTTGAATGTATTAATACTGCTTAACCCTTTCACTGTGCAATTAATTTTCAGGCTGATTCCCAAAAAGTGTCGACTATCCACCAAATAATAAAAGTATGAATTTGTCCCTTTGTAATACCTTTTCAGTATTCAAAGAAACTGTATTTTCTATATCTGACAGTAATATTCCATGAAAACTGTACTTTATAGTGAAACATAATGATTTAAACAAACAATTGAGGAAAACTAGAAGACAAGTGTTCTCCAGTAAATATAGGCAAAACTAAGTCAATAAGAGACCAAAGTCATTACAAAATATAAAACAAATTATTTATAAAACAATATCCAAGATATAAAGAAACTGTCTTTATACAGATTCTATATGTGTTCCTGCAAAGTTGGCAATTTTTGTAATGAGATATATAAACATCCAGGTTTCGCGGCATAGAACACAGATGGCAGCATGCACGCACACAGATTTGGTGACTGTTTCAAGTACATAGTCCACAACTCTTACAATGGATCCAAAGTCCACAACTCTTACAATGGACCCAAAGTCCACAACTCTTACAATGGACCCAAAGTCCACAACTCTTACAATGGATCCAAAGTCCACAACTCTTACAATGGATCCAAAGTCCACAACTCTTACAATGGATCCAAAGTCCACAACTCTTATATTCCTGCATGTTGCAGTAGAGGGAAACTTTTTTTGGTAGCCGTGGGGTAAATCTGATATTCACAGTCAGTGGGTATAAATGTTTATTCGGATATATCCGAACTACACAGCAAAAGGGTTAAATATTTAAAAGAAAACTACACTGTCAAGCAAAAATGTTTAAAATAGATATGTGAATTGCACATTTTAAATTAATATATTAACTTACTACTGTTTAAAACTCATAATGTAAGTATTTAAACTTGAATAAATAAGTCACACGGATATGGACTACTATAAATTTTGTTTTTTATTGTGAGCTTTTCGGCCTTTTTACTGTAGTCTTTGGTGAGCAACTGGACAATGATTTGTTGGCATTCATGGAACATTTTTTAACACCTAGTCTACATGTCAGGGAGACATTTTTGGTGGGTTGATTCTCAAACAAAGCTTTCCGGTACTCTCCTTTTTTAAATTCTGATTTGAACGTCTTGCTATGTCTGGAACCTTAACAGTCAGCTTTTGTAGACTTGTGTTCTTGTTTTGTTTATTTATTTTATTGAATTTTACACTAGCCATCCCTAATTTTGAAGTGACAGACTAGAGGGAAGTCAGCTAGTCAACACCACCCACTGCCAATGCTTGGGTTACTCTAATCAAATAGTGGTAATTTTTCCACAACTCTTATAATGGATCCAAATTCTATAAATCTTATAATGGATCCAAAGTCCACAACTCTTACAATGGATCCAAAGTCCACAACTCTTATAATGGTTCCAAAGTCCACAACTCTTACAATGGATCCATAGTCTATAACTTTTACAATGGATCCAAAGTCCACAACTCTTACAATGGATCCAAAGTCCACAACTCTTATAATGGCTCCATAGTCTATAACTCTTATAATGAATCCAAAGTGCAGAACTTTTTTTTTCTGCCAGTAACAGAGTGTGACCCATGAAACCTCAGATCCACACAATCCAACATGTTAACCACTGGACCACACTCAGCATGCAGCCTTGTGAACTAGAACATCATGGAAAGGAATTTTTCTTGTTATCAAGTTCAAGAGAAATCTTTATGCTTTCAAATTTACAGTTCAGGAAGTTTCTGAATTCTAATTCTCCATGTGGACACAAAATAAAAACAAATATATCACCAACTTATCTTACTATGATAGCTTCAGGACATGTGAGGTATTGATATTTGTCAATCTTGAAAGTGTCTTGTCCACTTCTTTATTAACCCTACAATGCCAGTGTTAAATTTTCAATCATTAACTACAGGTGGTGTGGGATCATAGCGACCCCACACTGGCATTCTAGGGTTACATCTCTTTGACTGGTATCTTGTTGTAAAGTGACATACGATCTAAGCCGGTCATAACGTTGTTATTAGAAGTTGTTGATCTAAGCCGGTCATAACGTTGTTATTAAGAGTTGTTGATCTAAGATGGTCATAACGTTGTTATTAGGAGTTGTTGATCTAAGCTGGTCATAACGTTGTTATTAGGAGTTGTTGATCTAAGATGGTCATAACGTTGTTATTAAGAGTTGTTGATCTGAGCCGGTCATAACGTTGTTATTAGGAGTTGTTGATCTAAGATGGTCATAACGTTGTTATTAGGAGTTGTTGATCTAAGACGGTCATAACATTGTTATTAGAAGTTGTTGATCTGAGCCAGTCATAATGTTGTTATTAGGAGTTGTTGATCTGAGCCGGTCATAACTTTGTTATTCAAAGTTGTTGATCTAAGATGGTCATAACGTTGTTATTCGGAGTTGTTGATCTAAGACGGTCATAATGTTGTTATTAGGAGTTGTTGATCTGAGCCGGTCATAACTTTGTTATTCGAAGTTGTTGATCTAAGATGGTCATAACTTTGTTATTCGAAGTTGTTGGTCTAAGATGGTCATAACGTTGTTATTAGGAGTTGTTGATCTGAGCCGATCATAACGTTGTTATTAGGAGTTGTTGATCTAAGATGGTCATAATGTTGTTATTAGAAGTTGTTGATCTGAGCCAGTCATAATGTTGTTATTAGGAGTTGTTGATCTTAGCCGGTCATAACGTTGTTATTAGAAGTTGTCTTTCCTGAAGTGAAGTGGATTAATTCATCCATTGTTTGGTTTATAGAAAGTTCAGAATTTTGTGTAAGACATTTACAAAATACTGGAGATGAATTTAGCTGCACTGTGTAATGTTTTACATGGGTGGGTAACACTGTAATACAATTCTAAGAAAACAATATTCAAAATAAAAGTGATCATCAAAACAGAAAATTATCAAATCTTAAGGACTAGGATTACCATCTTTCTAAACTGGGAAAACATTCAAGATGGAGCTGAAACAGCCAAACAATCTCATAAGAGAACACGTTAGCAATGAGCATAATTAGTGCTTATTGATTTTTGGAAAGATGTAATTTTCCAAGCCCCATTAAGTGTCCAACCCTTTGATTTATAGAAACTAAAAGGGTTGTTTTTCATCAGGTTGAACCATTTAAACAACATTTCATGCAACAGTGCTTATGATAACAATGAATGTAGTTCTGTAAAACAAAAGATGCCCAGAAAATTATTTAGTTTCTTTTTTTATAGCCCAATACCTACCACATTTTTCTTCTCTCGTGGGCTTTGAACTTGAGCTATTTTCCACACTTCATCAATCCCTTTAATGTTGCCACTAAATAATATAGCTAGCAAATAAAATCAACGAAACGAAGAATGAAAGTGTACAACATACTATTGAAAAATCAGTAGAAACTTAATGAGTATAGGAAGTTTATTATATTAGGCCTAACATTATTTCCCTGGAACTTACAATTGACTGAAGAAGTGTCCATATCTAAGTTATAGCTGGAAGCTAGAAGCAAATCACCCGTAACACAAAGAGCATCAGTAGAACCACGCTGATGAATACAATTTCTTAACCGTTCCATTCTACCTAGGAGATAATTATCATTAAAGTTATTGTAACTTTCAATGATACTGTCACTTTAATAGCATCAGAGTCTGGAAGAGCTTAAAGTTTATCTTGTAGATACTTATCTTAACCCTACTTGACAAATATCTAAAATCTCTCTCTTTTTTTTTTCTCTCTAGGTTAAGGTAAACTGATGATTTTCTTTAATATCATAAACAACAAATACGGTGATTCTTCAGTATCCTAGAAAAATATAAAATGACAAAAACAATTTTACATAAGTGATTCATCCATGACATGTTTTAACTCATAGTTAGCACATCAATCAAAAAATATATCCATCTTTGTTTGTTTGTTTAGAATTTCGCGCAACGCTACACAAGGGCAATCTGCACTAGCCATCCCTAATTTAGCAGTGTAAGACTAGAGGGAAGGCAGCTAA